AACTCAAATTATTATATTTAGATGAATTATATAAACCCTAACATGTTCATGTTCGTCAAAAACATCATGAAAATCATTAAATCTCAACAAAAGCTCCTGTTAAAATTGATTTCAGATCTTAAAAGCTAAGTTAGAGAATTCGTTTTTAACTTTTTAAAACCAAAAGATCATATCTTGTATTATATGATTTAAAAGAACAACTTTTATACTTAAACCAGGTTTTAAGGCTCAATAAAACCAAATAAAACTCAACAAAAAATCAATTAAAAATAAGGATAGGATTGGAGGAGATGAAACTCGCTTCAAAACGGTGCTGAAAATCCCAAGGATGCAGGAAAACAAGTTCTTCCATGCCAAACACAGACAATCTCGCTCTCTTCTCGGTATTTGCTTCACAAAGCTCTCAAAATTCAACACAAATATACTCTAGGGTTTTGATGGGAGAGGGTGGCTGCTAAGGTTCACAAATCTGATGTAAAAGAGAATTTATATATATATATATATATACAGATAAACCTGAAACAAACTAATCTAACCCAAAACAGGAAACCCAGTCAGACTAGAAAAATAGTTTTCGGTATTTTAGCTATAACTCTTTCGTCCGACCTCAGAATAAGATGATTTAAAATCTGTTAGGAAATCTATTGAAGAGACTTACAACTTTTATATTTTGATATTTTTCTAGATTCGAATTACATTGGTGTATATGCATATATATACACCAATAAACTCGAAACCCACTAAAATCATGATTAACACTTGTATACTCTCATATATACTCTTAATTGATCTCAAATCAATTACTATCATGCTCATTCATCATTAAATGATATCCATCATAATAAAACTCATTTATCACTATTATTCATAATATTTTTAGATTTTACGGGGTTTTACACATATCACCCCCATATCTATATTCCATATTAGAGTTTTTTTTAAATAACAATATATACTGAATACTAAAGAAGAAAAATGGAAAGATTATAAGGTTGACTAGTATTAATTAACTATATAACGAGAAAATTTTACAAAATAGTTTCACCTAGTATTTGTTTGTGAACGTATTAATCTTATGCCTAATGTGAAGTGTGACAAGTATATATACTTCCAATAATGTTATAAGCGTGATAAGTCTAATATATATCATACTCCCTTTAAAAGCACGAGTTCGAAAAAATCTTTCGGTAGACAAAAATACCCTTGAAATTTAAAAAGTAATCCATTAAGTAAGAGGAAGTTGATAAATTGATAAATTCTTATTGGCTATTATACATAGTATGAAGAATTGGATATAGTTTAAATTGAAATGTAAACCTGATTGAAATTATAAGATACCAAATTTACAAATGTATATATGATGAAGGTCGTATATGCAAAAACCAAACAAATTAACGAGATAAATAACGTCTGCCCCAAAGGTCGAACCCAGTAACAGTGAAAACCTACAAATGTATATGATGTAGACTAGATATTTGCAATATCCACCAAACAAATTAAAGAGACAAAAGTCATTCTCAAAATTAGAAAAAAGGAAAATTAAAAAAAACGATTGTGATTTGAGGACACAACATGAGGATCTCTCACCGACTAAAACTCAAGTAATTCATGATATTACATAATTAGTTTTAAAGTTTAATTATACTATTATTATTTAAATAGAACTCTATTTACAATTATTATCCTCTCATATGCAACATCACATACTAATATATATAAGCTAAGAAATTATAACAATTTCCATAGCACTTTTATCTCCTTCTATAGGTATGTGCTTTTGTTATTTTTTTCTTATTAGATTAGATTAGATTATTTTAAAGTATTTAATTATATTGTATATTTACTTTTTTTCATATCAAGAAATAGCAACAAATTTCATAGCACTTTCATCTATTTTCTTCTTATAAGATTTGATTAGATTATATTAAAGTAATTAATTATATTGTATATTTAATCTTTTTTCAGATAAAAATTATAATATTTTTCATAGCACTTTCATCTCCTTCAACAAGTATGTGCCTCTGTTAGTTTCTTCTTATTAGATTAGATAGTTTAAAAATTATGAATTATAAAGTTGCAATAATTTTCATATCACTTTCATTTATTTTCTTCTTATTAGATTAGATTAGATTATTTTAAAGTAATTAATTATACTATATATTTGATTTTTTTTAGATCACAAAGTTTAATGATACGATTACTATTTAAATAGATATTGTTTGTATAAAAGTCAAAGAGAATCTCACACGTATCTTAGATCTCAATGCCAATTATAATATTTACATATGAGTGTTAGTTAAAGTAAATTTTATCTATGGGCTTAATTTATATAATCCTACTTTAACCAGATTAGTTAATTTTAAATTTTTTTACACCCAAATTCTTCTACAAAACCAAAAGAGAATAGCAATGTTATAGCTATATATATCCACAGAACCATAAATATCTTGAAAATGGACAAAGAAATCCACACAAACAAAAAATATATTAATTGCCCCCACACACCCACTGTTTTCAAAACCATCATTCTCCATCTCCATCTATAATATTGCCACATACCCAAATTAAGTTGTTGGAGTTTCCCCCTCACCAACTACACTATTGATCAACCCTCCTTTTTCCTTTGATTAACCGTCCTTTTTCCTTTGTACTTAAATTGTATATCGTTCATTACGATGAGGACAAACCGGGGTCCTCTACCTGCCTTTAACGCCCAATAAAAAAAATAATGAGATCTTGTCATTATAAACAAATTGAGTAAAGATTAATAAAAACAATAAACAACTAGGCCTTGTAGTTAGTTAATAATGAGATCCTGTCATTATAAACAAATAGAGTAAATATTAATATTTCTTAAGAATGTACTATGTTCCTCTAGCTTCCATTGCAAACTTGTTAATTATTTATTCCTAACCCCAAAATATTTTCAAAATTAATCTTGAGAGTTGTTTGCATTAAAAAAATTATGTTACAGAGCACATACAGTCTGTTTTATAGTTTAAGATTGTCAACACATTTGTCTCTGATGCATATCAATTATGAGTAATAGTACAGTTTAATTGATCCAAGTATATCTTAGTATATTTCTGGATTCTTGTCTTGTCTTTAGCTCTTTATTGTATACCAATCTGATATCACAATTGATGTAGACGATGAAGGCACTATTGTAGAATTGCCTAGGGAAAAGATAAAATGGAGAATGATTGTTCTCGGCTCAACTAAATATAAATAAAGAGGGAATAAAAGATAATACTTTTTGAGTATTTTATAGTAAAATTTAATATTTTGAGTAAACTTAGGAATCTTTAGAAGAGATTTTCATGTTAAATTTTTAATATGTTTATGTGAATGATTTTGTGATATAAAATTATACTAGAGTCACTATTAATCTTTAGTATTTATTTTTTATTTTAAGTTTATCAATAATTAAGATGTCTTGCAGTATTATGAAAAGTATGTGCTATGTGCTGAGCTTATGCAAACTATCTTAATATTAAATATTTGGTTATATTTTTATTAACACATCCACAATATATTATTATATTTTTATTTCAAACTTAACACTGCATTTAATGATTGAGATAAACAAATTGTAGGTCGATGATTTGACCCGATAAACAAATATGTTACATGAAGTTTGATATATACAAATTTAAAAGAATAATGTTGTGTGTGCAAGTATATAAAACTATATTGATCCCAATTTTACACAAAAATCTATTTCATAAAATTTTTAAAAAAAGTTTAAATAAATTTTATGGTAAATATAATAATCCATGTTTATAGATTTTTACTCAAAATGAATCTCACTTATTTTATAGTAAGAAAATAAATTAATAAATAAATAATTTTGATATTTAACCACGTGCATTGCATGTGTCCAAGAACTAGTAGTCGTATAAGCTCGTGTAGTGAATTTCATCCAACTCTTATTAACTAGAGATTCCGGATTCGTATGTCTTCAAACATTACTTTCTGTATATGAACTCTTCCATTAAATTCATGAGGCAAATTATACCTAAACTACTAGTTCATTTACCGCTAGAAAAGAATGTGACACACGAGTTGTCTAAGTTAAGAAAGACGAATTTTATAATTCAAGCGAATTGGATCACCCCCCATGCACGAATTCAATAATGGATATTTTTCGAATAAGAAGATATACTAGATAAAGAAGTAGAAAAACAGAAAGGTTGCAACAATTGGCTAGTGTTAATTAACTATATAAGGAGAAAATTTACAAAACAGTTCCACCTGGTACTTGTTCGTGATCATATTCATCTTGTGCATGCTTTTAAGCATGACAAGTATATACACTGCTAATTATGTTATAAAAGCGAGTCAATCCGCCATAGACAGATAGGCTCGTCCAGTTATAAAAGCGAGTCAATCCGCCATAGACAGATAGGCTCGTCCAGAGAATGCTCATCCAACTTTTATAAACCAGATGTTCCTATCTGTTCAACCTTAATTCATGTATCTAAAACCTTCTGTTGAATATTTGGCTGGCAAAACCTAAACTAGTTCACGTATCTGCAGAAAAGAACTGTATGACAGATAAGCTACGTACCTAAGTTATTTTTTTTAAAGGTAAATTTTAAAATTAGAGCAAATTAAATCCCACCTATCCAAAAAGCCATTGACGAGAGAGGAATTCCTACCAAATTGTGGGCTAAATCCCCTTATATGCATTTGGCAGATACATATACCGTCTACCCTACATAGTGTGGTCTCGCACCTATGAAATGCTATCAAATTTTTAGCATCTGTATAGGACAGAAAGTAGTCTAATATGGCGAATGCCCATTTCGAGCGCACACCCATTTTTATCGTACCCCTCTGGCTTCGTGTATTTATACACCAAATTTTTAATGAATTCCTTTTCAAAGGGTACGTATGTAGTCAAACCCTCTCAAAATATAATACCGATAGCAAAAGCAATAAAACGACATCTAGTAATCAAATAATATGTATTCAACCCTTAAAAATTAATCCATCTCCCTTTTGCCCCCCTCCAATCCTCGTAGGCCATGAATCCCAAATATAGGAAGGAGTTATTCTTCCCAAAAACCCCACCTTTATAAAAAAAACCCTCGCTCTTTCCCCCTCACAAACCCCAAATCATCATCAAAAAATAAAATTTTCTTTTCTTTTCTTTTCTTTTCTTTTTTAATTTTACCTTCGTATGGACATAACCTGAATCCCAGCTTCTCAACTTTCCATCTGTTCGTCCAAAATCCAGAACCCAACAAATCAAAAAAAACCAATGGAGGCGGCGCCGTCGGCGGCTAATCCACCGGCGACGGAGGCGACGGCGGCAAGAAAGAGATATGAAAGGCTGATGACAATACGATCAAAGGCAATAAAGGGCAAAGGCGGCCTCGGTATTGCGGCCCACCTTCGAGCCCTTCCTCCTCCTCTCGGACTCCGGCGAGCGACGGCTGTGAGCTCCGCTGCTCCCTCTGCGACGCCACCTTCTCCGCCTCCAACCCTTCTCGAACCTCACGGATCACTTGAAGAAAGGCGCCTGCCCGAACTTCAACGCCGCCGCCCCCCTCCGCCCTCTTCGTCTGCGGCCCCCACACGATCTCTTCGGCACCTCCGTTGACGAGAAAGCGGCTTCTCGAAGCCCAAGCCGCCGCGCTTCTCCTCCCTGCCCTTCAGCGCCGCAGCACGGAGTCCTCTCCGGCCGGTAAAGAGGATTTGGGCGCCCTTGCAATGCTCGAAGATAGCGTCAAGCGCCTCAAGAACCCGAAGCCTCTGCGGCTCAGCCGCTGCCTACGGCCCTGGCCCGCATTCCGCCGCCTCTTTGCTCGGCGACTGGGTCTTTGAATCCTGCGGTGCTGTCTCTCTTGCTTCTTTCAAGCATCCCAAATTCATGGAATTTCTCAACCTCGTCGGCCTCCCGCCCGTCGATCCCCGCTGCATTCTCGGCCCTGTTCTCGATTCTCGGTACCGAGATTCCGTGGCAGACTCCGACGCCAAGATTCGAGATGGCCCTTTCTTCCAGCTGTCCTCCAGTGGCTGGAGGAAGCAGAATGTGGGTCCTGATTCCCGCAGACTTGTGTGCGTGTCAGTAAATTTGCCAAACGGGACGGCGGTTTTTCACAGGGCGGTGCTCACCATCGCCTCAGCTCCTTCGGATTATGCCGAGGAGGTCTTTGAAGAAGCTGTCAACGGATCATTGGGTGGCATTGCTGAATGCTGTGCGGGGATTGTAGCCGACAGGTTTAGGTCAAAGGCGCTGCTCAATCTCGAGAACCGCCATCGTTGGATGGTTAATCTCTCTTGCCAGGTTCAGGCCATTGCTCGTTTGGTCAAGGACTTTGCTAGTGAGCTTACCCTCTTTGAGAATGTCGTTGCTAACTGCTTTAAGCTGGCTACTTACTTTAACAAGCAGTCTCAGGTCAGGGTTATCTTTAACAAGTATCAAGTTCAGGAGTCTGATGGGAGTCGACTCCTTAGAGCTCCGGCTGACATTGAGGATGCCATAGCTAATTTTGGCCCGGTGTTCTCGATGTTGGATGATGTAATGGGCTCAATTGGGCCCCTTCAGTTGGCTGTTCTTGATGAGGGTTATAAAGTTTTGCGTAGAGAGGATCAGATGGCTGTCGAATTGGCTGAGCTTATACAAGATGTGAGATTCTGGAGTGATGTCGAGGCTGTGCATTCAATTGTGAAGATGATCGGAGATATAACTTGCGAGATGGAGACAGAGAGACCATTGGTTGGGCAATGCCTGCCTCTATGGAATGAGCTCAGGGCGAAAATCCATGACTGGTGTAATAAGTTCAGCATCGAGTTTGCGCCAGTTGGTCAGCTGATAGAGAGACGGTTTCAGAAAAATTATCATCCGGCGTGGTCTGCAGCATTTATATTGGATCCGTTATACTTGATTAAGGATGCTAGCGGAAAATATCTCCCCCCGTTCAAGCTCCTGACACCAGAACAAGAGAAAGATGTCGATAAGTTGATAACGAGGTTGGTGTCGAGCGAGGAAGCTCATATTGTGTTAATGGAGCTTATGAAATGGCGAACTGAGGGGCTTGACCCACTCTATGCGCAGGCTGTTCAAGTGAAGCACGTTGATCCTTTGACAGGCAAAATGAGAATTGCGAACCCACAGAGTAGCCGGCTTGTGTGGGAGACTTGCTTGAGTGAGTTCAAGATTCTTGGTAAAGTGGCTGTCAGGCTTATTTTCCTTCATGCCACTGCCTCCTCCGGGCTAAACCCTAATCCTCCGGTACTTCAGTGGGTCAGTGGTCACTCTCGGTCAAGGACTGCGATGGAAAGGTTGAAGAAGATGGTGGCTGTTGCAGCCAATGCGAAACTTGAGAGGAGGGAATTTTCGAGTGAGGAGAAGGATGCTGAGCTCTTAGGACGCGAAGAAGGTGACAGATGAGGCTTTACTGGATGCTGAGCTCCCTTTCTGTAACATTTCTATTTCTGTTTTTAGTTTAATTTTTCCCTTGCATTGTAGAATTGGATGTGTAGGAATTGCTGGGTTTTCCCCCTCCTTTTTTTTTCCTTTTTGAATGGGTTCTTGAGTGTGCCATTGTTGTTCTAACTTAGGTTTTAGAATTGTCACCTCCTATCAGGGCATTTCGTAATTGGGGGTAATTTAGGTTGTTCAGACAAATGATATCCTTCTTGTTTATAAATTGGAATTGTTGAGAGAACAAAAAACAGGAAGAATGGTGTAAAATTTTGATTCTCAGATAATAATTTTATATGAATTTTCAAAAACTTTTTCAACCTGATTATTCAGTTTCCTGTTCTTTCCATCTTGTAAATGATGCTTATTCTTTGGTTGTTTGAGTTTTGTATGAAAAACTTTGGTGAAATATGGTACTGCCTTTGATTTTCATCTGCTTATATGTGTATCAAATCATACCATCTGTTTACCTCTGGATGCCGTCATATAACTGTATGTTTGTTCTACTATTATTGGTTTTTGGTTCAGTAATTTATTTACACCTCTTAGAATTAGAATTTGCTGTTTTTCACTGTAATTTCAACCTGTACCGTAATCTCTTCTAGCTGAGTATGCAATTTGCTAGAATTATGAAAAGAAGTTATGTTGCTCTAACATTTATAATTGTTCATGTGATAAACCAAACCTATAATTGTTCATGTGATAACCTGAATTAACCATAGCAAGGCATAGTTTCAATTCCGTATCTACATAAACCATTATCATTATAGGAATCATTATCTGTTATTTCTCTTCATGTTGGATTGTAAGCATAAGACTGCATATTCTGGATTAAAGTTTTTCTCGAATTATAGTGAAAATACACTTCAACACCTGAACCTGATCTGCTGCTTATTTTCTTCCATTAAATTCTGTTTCGTTAATGTTTTCTCATAGATCTGTATCCTTACAATAAATGAATTCGAGGATACCCATCTTACCCATTAAGTTATGAACAGAAAATTCTCCTGTTTCTTCTCAGATTCCTTGCCCAAAAAAGCCCCTACGGCCTTCAATTTTGATTAGTACCTCTTAATCTGAAAATGCAAAGTGTATGTGATAGTTCTGTAGCAGATAAGAGTGGTAACTGCATTCAGAACTGTACCAAAAATGCACTTCAAGAGACATTTTATTGTCAAAAGGAAGCTCACAAACTCTTAAAATCTCTGTCAAGTTCGAACATATTGTATACACTGCTTGTCATTGTGATACCTGTGGTTTATTGCATTGCTAGTTGGAATTACTTACTGTTTGTACACTTAGAATATTTTGTACTCTGGATGCCAACAGCAATTGTTGGCGATATTCTTAGAAATTACATCTATGAAAGAGCGGCATCAGTATGAAGCTGATATACACTAGTATAACGGATGAAAGAATGATTGTTGCTAGTTGCAATGGCATTTTGTATAAATTAAGTTAGTTAAGTTTTGGTAGGTATGTAGTCTATTTTATCGGCTAACAACACCACTAATTGGTCTTGCCTCCGTTTTGTCGATCCATACATGAGCTTAGGATCTTATGTAGTACTCCATTGTTAATAAAATCTAAGATTTGCATTTTTGGTGTTGTCATAAGATCTGCCTTTTAGATTTTTCCTGGTTGTTATGGTCCTATGGGTCAAGATCAGAGTATAACATTAGGAAACAAAAGGATTGAGCATAGGATCTTTGTAGCTGAGGCGCCTTATCTCCTCATCTCTCCCTCTATTTCGGGATGACTGAAAGCCGACCATGAATGAAAACAGTTTTAATGTCCATACTAAAGAACTTTCGGCCCCTCCACCCCATCAACTCTTGGTAACTTGTCATTGAGACTGTACCGTAAACTATTGGATGCTTGAGTTATAGGTTCGACTTCCTCCAAGTTCTTTTTTCTTGGCCATCATTACTACAAAGGTTCGGAGGGTTGTCGGCAAAAATTTCGGGGACAATGAACAACCAATCGTAGGAAGACCCCATCCACGCTTTCACAAAAGGAAAGTGAAGAGGGAAGGTATGATGGGTTTCTCAGTTGAAGGAGCCTCTGAAGACTTATCCGTGAGTAGTTGGTTACAATTACATGCAACTTTATACTGTTGATGAAGGAAAAGTATATGCTTTTCAAAAAGGGAGGGGAAGATTGATGAGGAGATGACAGAGAGTGGGTCTCGGGACTAATAAGTCACTTGATAAAAAAAACTATTAGTAGGAGATCATTTTGAAGAAGTCTAGGCCATCATAATAATAATCATCATCTTCTTCTTCTTCCTCCTATTTGTGATATGGGGGACCAACTTAATTACCAAGCAAGTGTTGTAGGGGAGGGTTTTTTCTCTGATCCCTGACATGAGGAAGTGATTGAGATGGGCAGGGTAGTAAGCTGATTTTGCCACTTCTTTGGAGAGGACGGGACTTTGCTTTTTTATTCAACATATACATACGTGACACCACTTACTTTGGTCTGGAAACTTATTTTGGTTTTGAAGAGGGAAAATATGTATGTTCTACCAATAATAGGGCATGCTTCTTTGATCCTTTTATTATTATTATTATTATTATTATTATTATTATTATTTCCATACTCCATATAAGAACATTGAATTTCTGATGAGGTAATTCTGAGAATCAAACTAAGAGTAATCATGATGATGATTTTATATAACTCAAGAGGTCTTAATCAGGTGGTCTTTTTGTCAAAAATAATTTTATCTTTCTGAGTGTAAAAGAGTAAAAAAAAAGTTTCTTAGGGGATCCTATATGCAATACTATAACTATAGGAGGTCTATTTGGAATTGGGCCATACTACATAGTGTCAATCTGAATTTACATACTACATATAAAATTATTGAGTTGCTGGTGAGGTAATTTTTAGAATCTAACTAAAAAGGCATGTTTAACAGCCTTTCAAAATAAGACCATGATTGATCCTGATCCTATTTTGCAAAGAACTTTTTCTGCAGAAAATTGAGCCGGTATTGCCCAGTTTTTCATTAGCCAGAAAAGACACATTAAACTGGTTTTATGTGATAAATCTTCTCAATTGAATCAGGCGATCTTCTTGGTTGTCGTTGTGGTTGCTCTACCAATTCTATCTACATTTTGGATAATAAAAACTTCAACTTGTAAATTCTCATGTAATACCTGCCTATTAGCATAAAAGGCTTTTTATCTGATCAGAGCTTGAATTTATGTGCAACCTTAAAGTCTTCACGATTGCAGTCTATTTATAGGTAATACTACTTTTAAGATTTTTAGCAGCAAGTACTAGAACTTTTATGAGTCAAATCAAAACTGGTTTTCTCGTTTTTCAAGGTTAGATGTGGCCAAATTACAGAAAATATTACAAGCGAATGGGGGCTACAACTATGAGAGGAAATGTGTATGCGTGTGTATATAATATGAGATGGTGAGCTCAGATTTTTTATGGTGAGCTAGCTTAGTAAGTTAATAGAAATGATAACTGCCACCATCCATCGTGATTTGAAGTTATCATGATCTATATTAGAAAAAATTATATTGTTTTAATCATTATTTTAGTTATATGTAGAAGGGACGACTACTAAGCTGCCTGAAAATTCAACATAATAAACTAGTATGATTTATATTCTAGAATACTCCAAATTTTGTCAAAAGTTTATCATATACATTTGATAATGTGCTGGACAAGATATACGATGCCGATCATGAAATTCATAAGCCGATTAATCTATCTCACAATAAGATTTGGGCTCATGATCTCACAATACCATTACTCTCTCTGTGTGTGTATGTGTGTGTATATATATAATAATATAATTTTCTTTACATATAGATTATAATGAGTACAAATTATGATGTCTAGTGCCCAATTATCATTTCGAGTAACTTATTAGACTAGTTGTATATATATATATTTTCCCTCTTAACTTTATGTATGTGCCCGGTGTGGTCATTTTCTTAGACCACGATCAAATATTTAGCAAATCGATGATGTGACAATACTTTTTTTTGCATTTCTTGCGTTTTCTACAATTCAAAGATGATTTTTCAATTCCAAACAAGGGGTAAGGCATAAAAATTTTGAAGGAAATTTGTTTGGAAATTTTCTTGGGTTGAGAAAAAAAAGGAGGTAAACTGATGTGTTGTGGAAATAGCTTGAGATTACAAGTACACAATCAAGTTATAATATAATACAATGTCAATCCCACGAGGAAGGTGTGTATGGAATATTCTAACATGGTTCTTAGAGTTGTGTGTAGACAATTAGGATTGACAATGAAGAGATATAAAAAGTGTCTGATTAATTATAAATAAAAGAAAACTAGAAAAGAGGAGAGAAAAAGAGTGAAAATAAAGGCAAATGAGAACAAACAAAGAGGAAAATAAAGAAAATAAAGAAAATAAAAAAGAACAAAATCAAGAAAATAAGAAAATAATCAAAAAGAGCAAAATCAAAGCAAATAAGATAGAGAAAAATCAAGTAGATAAGGTAGGAATCTAGAATTGAATCAAGTAGCTAATTTCATTTAGGATTAATGAACTACTCTTTACTTAATAATATTTTACTTCATATTTATTAAGCATAAACTACCAAACCACTTAAGGGAAGCATAACATGTAAAAATATCATCCAAGTAAAATCATCATTCATGAAAAGAACAACACTTCGGTAGTAATTCTAGAATTCATAAGCATAACCTATTAACTGCTTAAGATAAGCATAAATTATTAAATTCTTCTTGTAGCAATTAGTTCTCTAGTTAATTATCTTAAACATGACCACTTTGGGCACAACAAAGCAATCCACAAATCATAAAAGAAATCAAACTAGTTTCATATAATTCTAGAGTTCCTATAAGATTTAGTTGCACATTTTGAAAATAAAAAATAAGAAAACAAAATCTAGACTAGAGAGCATGAAATAAAGAGATCTAAAATAAAAACTAACTATCAAAAGTAAAAACAAGAATAAGGAAAGCATAAAGGAAATCTAATTAACAAAAGTAAACGAGCATGAAAGTAAATCTACACTACAATGCATGAAATAAATCTAATCTACCAATATAAAAATAAAAAAATAAAATCCTAAAATAAGAAAATAAAAAAGAAAAATAAAAACTCACCTTACAAGAGGTTAGCCCCTTGACAAGTCTTCATCTTCATCAATAAAAAAGAAGAAATAAAATTAAAAAGCAGGAAAATTTTTTATTTATTGCAAACATTAAAAGTTTATAAATTGGAAGACCTAATTGCATGCCCTCCTCCTCTCTA